TTTAAAATGAATAAAAATACTTTTCTTCGGAAATTCTTTGATAACTTATTTATCATGTTTTACTGTGAACAAATTCCGCAACATTTTTATTAAAAGAGGTACTCTGATTTTTATAAAGCATAAACAAAATCGGTCTTTTCTGGCCGTGAAAATGGGGATGTCACAAAGACGTAGGAGTAGCATGAGGAGCACTTGCGGGAGGTGTTGGATACCCTGAGGAGGGAGAGCTTGTACGCCAAGTTCTCCAAGTGCGAGTTCTGGTTGCGCGAGGTGCAGTTTCTGGGGCACCTTGTCAACCACAACAGGATTTTGGTCGATCCGGCCAAAGTAGAGGCTGTGATGAGATGGGAGGTTCCGAGGTCTCCATCTGAGATTCGGAGTTTCCTTGGATTGGCAGGCTATTATCGTAGATTCATTCAGTACTTCTCCAAGATAGTCGTACCCTTGACCCGGTTGACGAAGAAGGCCATGGTCTTTCGTTGGGGGACTGAGCAGCAGGCAGTGTTCGAGACACTGAGACAGAGGTTGTGCGAGGCGCCGATTCTAGCCCTGCCAGAGGGTGTAGAGGATTTTTTGGTATACTGTGACGCGTCCATTTCAGGCTTGGGCGTGATATTGATGCAGAGAGGGCATGTCATCGCCTACGCTTCGAGGCAGTTGAAGCCTCACGAGGCAAACTATCCGACACATTATTTGGAGCTGGGGCTGTGGTTTTCGCCGTCAAGATTTGGTGGCATTAGCTCTATGGGATTCGTTGTATTATCTACACGGACCACAAGAGTTTGAGGTATCTCATGGATCAGCCGAATCTGAACATGAGACAGCGTCGGTGGTTAGATGTGGTGAGGGATTATGATTGTGAGATCCTTTACCACCCGGGAAAGCCTAATGTAGTAATCGACGCCCTGAGCCGCAAGGCGGTAGCAGCTCCGATACGGGATATTTGTATGAGGATGACAGTGATTACTCCACTTCTGGAGAAGATCCGAGAGGCGCAGGTAGAGGGCATGAAGGAAGAGCGCCGGAAGTGTGAGCGGATCATAGGCCAGGTGGCCTCTTTTGACTATGACAGCAGTGGGTTATTGACCCTGCATGGGAGGGTCTTGGTTCCGTACTGGGGCGGAGTACGGCAGATTCTGATGGATGAGGCCCATAAGTCGAGATTCTCTATCCATCCCGGGGCGACGAAGATGTATCGGGATCTTCGCCCTGATTACTGGTGGCCTTGCATGCAGCGAGATGTAGCATGGTATGTAGAGCGGTACTTGAACTGCAGGAAGGTCAAGGCCGAGCACCAGAGGCTGCATGGCAAGATGCAGCCGCTAGATGTTCCCATGTGGAATTGGGAAGATATCACCATGGATTTCATTACAAAACTTCCCAGGACCGCACGTGGAGTAGATTCGATATGGGTCATCGTGGATCGGTTGACCAAGAGTGCTCATTTTATCCCGATCCAGGAGAGTATATCAGCCGAGAAGCTGGCCGAGATTTACGTGCATGAGGTAGTGGCACGGCATGGGATGCCTGTCTCGGTGGTGTCAGACCGAGATGTCTGTTTTACTTCCAGATTTTGGAAGCGGTTTCACGAAGATATGGGTACTCGTCTCCATTTCAGCACCGCTTTCCACCCCCAGACGGATGGGCAGAGTGAGAGGACGATACAGACTCTCGATGACATGCTTCGTGCACGTGTTTGGATTTCAGTGGCATTTGGGATACGTATCTTCCGTTAGCAGAATTTTTGTATAACAACAGTTACCACGCCAACATAGACCGGCCTCCCTTTGAGATGCTCTATGGGGGGAAGTCTAGGACCCCAATATATTGGGGTGAGGTCGGTCAGAGAGTCATGGGGAGTATCGAGGTGGTACTCAAGACTACTGAGAGGATTCAGCAGGTCCGGAGCAGGCCTCAGACTGCTCAGAGTCGGCAGAAGAGCTACACCGACAAGAGGCGTTCAGATTTCGAGTTCCAGGTGGGTGACATGGTCCTCCTTAAGGTGTCACCTTGGAAAGGTGTCATCCGGTTCAGGAAGCGGGGCAAGCTGGGCCCCAGGGACATCGGTACGTTTAGGGTTTTGGCCCGAGTGGGTCAGGTTGCTTACCAGTTAGACCTTCCAGCAGAGCTCAAACAGATCCACAACACTTTCCATGTTTCTCAGTTGCGGAAGTCTTTAGTGGATGATTCAGCAGTGGTACCCCTTGAGGATATTCAGGTTGATGACAGCCTGAACTACATTGAGTGACCAGTAGCTATCCTCGACAGGAAGTCGAAGGATCTGAGGAACAAGAGGGTGGAGTTGGTAAAGGTGCGGTGGCAGCATCGCAAAGGGGTTAGAATGGATTTGGGAGCTGGAAGACGAGATGAGGGAGCACTACCCCGAGCTTTTCACAGATGCAGCAGCAGACTTCGAGGACGAAGTCTAGAATAAGTGGGGGAGATTTGCAATGCTCGGTTCCCGGTATGTATTTTTTAAAAATAAGTTTTGCATTTTTACTCTGGGACTTAACGAGTTGGAGGCCCAACTCGTCGAGTAGATGTGAGTTTCAGGACGCGGGTGGAAGAGTCTATTCGCCGAGTCGGAATCCCCGACTCGACGAGTAGACCTGTCTAGATGAAACCCTAAATTTGAGGGTTTGCACCCTATTTAAACACATTAAGTGGCCTCCACTCCAGCCTCCATCACCCTCAGACCCCCATTCTCGAAACCCTAATCAGTTGTGAGTGTTCTTGAGCTATTTGGTGCCATTTTTGTGATTTGAAGATTGGAAAAGGAAGGAAAGGCTTGGAGGTCCAAGAAGAAGGCAGTAGATCCAGAGTCTTGGTTGCATTTCTAGCTTGTTTGAGGTAAAAAGCTTCAACCTTAACTTCCCATTTGTTAGATCTTCTTTAGGGCTTGAATCTTGTCATTTTTGGGGCATTTCTAAGTCACTTACGGGTATAGAGTGTATAGTAGAGTGATGACTTCAGATCTTGAACCTTGGAGGGTTCTCATGGCATAAAGGTGCCAACGTTATGGCCATGGGATCCCCATGCACCTTGTAGACTTCATTTTTGGGTCTTTTGAGCATGAAGACCCATGCATGGACGTAAAGTTCGTGACTTTATGTGTTATATCGACCCTAGGAGGTCAGATCTACCCTTTGGATGCAACGGGCTCGACAGAAATCGATTGTATGGACATGGACTTTGGGGGACTCGCCGAGTTGTTCTTAGGACTCAACGAGTCGGGTAATGGTTCCCCAACCTTTTCTGTTTCTGAGGAATCTGGTTGAGTCTAGAAGAGGTCTCAACAAGATGAACGTGAATATGGACTTGAAGACCAAAGGACTCGACAAGTTTAAAGATGAACTCGGCGAGTTCAAGGAAATGTCCCGTTTGATATGAAGATGAACTCGACGAGTCCAAGGAAGGAACCGACGAGTTCAAATGGAAAGTCTCGATTCTGTCATAAGGAGAAACTCGGCGAGTTGGAGGGCAACTCAACGAGTCAGATTGCGAAGTTGAGATTCTCTGAGTTACGGAACTCGATGAGTTGGTGGACCAACTCGGCGAGTTGAGTCAACCAGAAGTTGACTTTGATCATGATGTTGACCTTGGACTTGACCTTTGACCTGAGTTGACCCTTGTAAGGGTTAAGAGTATGAATGGTAATTAAGGAAGGTGGTTATGTGTAGGAGTTGAGGAGATTGAGAGAAGGGATCCCAGCACCAAGGACAGTTCGGCTACTACACGACTTTGAGGTGAGTTACCTTCCAGTAAAGGTGGGTCTAAGGAACCAATGCCGGCCCACCAGTAGGTGATTATGTATGAGATGATTGTCTTTGTGATAAATGTCTGGGTTGCCACTATTTGATATGCTTTATGTGCTAGGATGCTTTGATATATGTGTTTGTAGTAGTGGGGGTGAAATAGTCCCCAGATACCGATTGAAAGATACCAAAGGGGTAGCCAGAAACCATGCATGCCTAGCAGTATGTTTATGCTATGCTATTATGTGGTAGTGGTAGGGGTGAAATAGTCCCCGGATACTGGGTGAATGATACCGAAGGGGAGGTTAGCTCCCAGTTACCGGTTGAAAGATACCGAAGGGGAGGTTAGCTCCCGGTTATCGGTTGAAAGATACCGAAGGGGAGGTTAGCTCCCAGCTACTGGTTGAAAGATACCGAAGGGGAGCTCAGCTCCCAGTTATGCCAGAAAGATACTGGTTGAAAGATACAGACGAATAGTCGTTATGTGATATGTGGTATGATGGGGGAACTCACTAATCTTTGTGCTTACGGTTTTCAATTTTAGGTTTCAAGTACCACTTCATCGAAGGGAAAGGAGCCGACACGGTAGCAGCGCATCGCACACACATGATTTCTGCATTTTGAGATCCATGGAATTGTACTCTGACATTATTACTATTTTGTTGATATGGTTTTTAAGACATGTGACTATGGTTTATGAAATGAAGTAACTCAATGATGTTTTTCTTATAAATTGTTTTTATAAACCGTTATGTCAAAAATGAAATTTTTGGTCTTGAAAATTGGGGATGTTACATTATGCATGGAGTTCTTCGCCACCGCTAATTCCAGAAAGTGAGATGATGTCAATGATCCAGACATTTTACTTTGTGTATGGGGGAAGAAGAAGGGAATGTAGTCTAGATGAGCTAACATGGCGGTTCGATATTTACAATCGATCTGAGGCAACTTCTGCTGAGTTTGTTGTCTCCCTGGATCACTGCCACAAGCATCTACCAGGACACTTATGTGTCGGGGTCTGCTCTCGAATGCAAGATTAGGAAGGTTGTGCACAGATTTATTCATAGGCTCATCACATTTTCTATTAATCAAAAAATGGAAGGGGATTGGGTGCCTCGACTTGATGTGTTTTTCTTATGGTGTCTTATTACACCAAATGTGTTTTGCCACCTTCCATATTGTGCTGCAGATTTTCTGAGTGGTCATCCAGCCAAGAGAAGGACATGATCACCCATTTATGGAGGGATGATGGTTACCAGGCTGGCTCACTCTTTTGGTATATTTGATGAGCCTGAGGCAACATTCCTCACTAGGATGGATGGTCGCCCTTTGCAACCACCTTTGTTTAAAACCGCTCGGATCGTGAGGGATTTTGGAAATAACCACTTCTCGGTACCTTCAGATGATGTAGTTGAAGTGTCGTCTGAGCTAGAAGAACGTCAGAATGTGCGACCGAAAGTGGAGGATCAGGAGCCTCGAGACCCACCCATAGGATATGTATTACGCATGGACCCTTATCACGTTATGGCCCGTCAGTACGATGATGATATTGGTAGGGGTTTAACTTTTTGGCGTATTCTATGGAGGTGATGATGTATCACATGTTGATATCGACCCCAGCTGGACCTGCTTATTACCCCTACATCCCAACATGGGTGGAGCGTTAGGCAGAACATGATGGTGGTGCCGGTGCTAGTGGAGCGAATCAGGATGATGATGAGGATTGATTATCCTTTATTTTATTTTTTATGGAATGTTTAAAACTATTTGTTTTTATTTGGTGTGTTTAGGATTATTGTAATGTAGGATTATCATAATTTTTGTTTTGTGATTGTTTTCCTTTTATTACTTGTTTTTGTTTTTGTTTTCTCAGAAGTCATGGTATTTTGTTATTATGTTCAGCGAGCTGATAGGAGAATGCGATATTGATTCCCGATAGACGTGAATAAAGCTTAAGTGAGGGGTACGACTTGTGAATCGAGAAGAGTTTTTTGAGCGAAATTTTGAGTTCTATAGCCAAAATAACTGAAGAATTTGATCTAACATGAGCATAGAGGGGTATTCTACATCGGCATTACCTTTTCTAAACCTAAAATCATGTTGGACGGAATGAAATTTTTTTTGAAGTTACAACAGCCACGGCGTGGCAACACTATGCCACGACATGGGCATGAAAAATATCGCGATCCAGTTTTGAATTATTTGAAGATCACGACGTGGGGACACTCCGTTTAAAATTTTGATTACTCGTGTCACCACTATTTGGATTCCATTTTCTTTGTGCATTTAAAGTTCATTCCTGTAGCAGTCCAAAAGTCTTGTTTCTAGCTATTACATGAGTTGTCGATCACACAACATTCGATTTCGACCTCGCCCTTCTATCCCAGGGGAGTCTGTTCCTTTTTACCCCTCTTTATTTTTATGTTCTTTAATTATGTTAAGCATGCAATAGGGACATTGCATGAATTAAGTGTGGGGTAGGGGGTCGATAATAGGAATACAAACATTATGATTTGAAAAATAAAGAAAAGTGCTGGATTGAAATTTTTTTTTTAAAATCTTATATAGACTTGAAAAAATGGTCTAATTTGGAAATCTAGTTGCATTTTAAAATGAATTGTTATATTGTTGTGTTGGGATTTAGGTTGCTAGTGTTGTGTGGGACGATCTAATGCGAGCTTCGATGTTTAATTGAACCAATATATGTTTTAGTGTATTTGTGGCTTCTCTATCCTAGTGAAATCATGAGACCAAAACATAACCTTGTGCAGTTTGAGGGACATAGTAAGTTTTGTTTGTGAATACCCAGGCATAAAAAAAACCTACCAGTGACTGATTTATCTCATGGGTCCTTTCTGTTAAAACAAAGCGAGTCAATTTTCCAAGTTTATCTGTTTATTTTCTGCATTGTTGAGTCTAGTTATTATATAAAAAATAAGTAATAGTTCAAGAGTAGAGTCAATTTGTGGCCTTTAGAACTCGACCAGTAAACCCTACCATATATTTTATATCTGTCCACCTGCAGTTCATTAACGCGGATCGAACCGGGAAGAATGCCATTACACAGGTTTCACCGAAAGTCATGGGCTCCATTAGTGGCCTAAAGGATTTCAAGTACTCCAATGAATCTTTTAGAAAGTCACGAACTATAGTATAATTGCAGTAAAGTTAAAACTCAAGTTATTTGTTGCTTATGTGTGAAAGTTGAAAGTTAAAGTATTGAGAAAAGAAAAAAAAATTGAAATTTTGAAAAATAAAGAAAAGGTGAAAAAAAGAAAAAGCTCTACAAAAATATAAAGTTGAAATAAAAAGTATAGTTATATTTTTGGACAATTATATTATATAGTATTTTTCTTTTTAAAGTTGAGTCACCTGGAATTTGGCGATAACTTTTGAAACGAAAAGGGGTAAATAAAAGGGTAAAGGTGGTAGGAATGACAAAAAATGAATGTTGTTCAAAATGAGTGGGAAGTGTTTATGATAATTGCAAGTATTGAGTATTGGGGAAGTATTTGGGAATCATTAGGCTCAAATACATACATTACAGTTTTGATGTAATAGATGAGCTTAAAATGGATTGTCTTGTGCGATGTTGGTAGCTAAGGTTTTGATATGATGATATAATGATAATAAAATCAGTTTTGCTTGGGGGCAAGCAAAAGTAAAGTGTGGGGTATTTTGATATTTTCATATTTATTCATATATTTTGTGCATTATCTTAATATTTTTAGCTACAATTGTGCTTATTTTAGGAAAAAGGGTGCTTAATATGTTTAAAATCTATTTTGTAGCGGAGAAGACTAGAGACGTGCTAGGAGGTTTTTCAAGATCTGGATTCGTTGAGATCTTGATTTGGAAGAGATTTTACGGCAACATACTTCTAAACCTTTGTTTGCTTTGTTTTTCATTATGGTTTTCAAAGTGAATTTCGTTTTTAATTGTTTGTTTCTAGTAGTTATGGGCTAAAAACCTTAACTTTCGTTTAGAGTAGAGGATCTTAATGACTATTTGTTGATTTATTGGATTATGGATTTCTGCTAGTTGTTTATTTTTTATGGTAGCATAATAAAGAACCTTTTGTGTTAATGATAACTACTTTTATGTTTATTGCTGAGTTTTACTAAGATTAGATGATTAATTTGTTTTGGTATACTTGTATCTTATGATTTTGTGATCATCAAAGTTATAAGACTAGTGTTTTGACAAAAAACCTAGGGTTAAATAGAAAAATGGGTAAATTAATGTGAAAGCTAATATACGATGATCATGCATGTATTGAATTGATGTTATTAACCATTGATGTCATTCACTAGTTCAAGTATAGCATAATTTGAACTTAACACTAGTATGCTTGTTTGTTTCTCCACTTGATCAATGAATGAATGAACTTGTTTTACTAAAGGATTAGTCTTTTGATCATAAATTCTAATCATCTTAGGAATCGGTAAGAAACAACAACTTAATCCATTGCACTTTCCAAGAAATTAACCATATGAGTAAGTGAATCGTATCTAAATGGAAGTCTCTTTAATATCTTGTCTTAAAACTTAATTTTGATTGCTTTTTGTTAGTTAATTTGCTTTTGTTTTAATTGCTTTTAAGTAATCTAGACTTGCAAAACCAGAGAGAAACCCCCCAATTACTATCTTTTAAAGTAGTTAAAATTTAGTAGAGATTTTAGCTTTTAATCATTCACGTTCCCCTTGTGTTCGACACCCTACTTTCTTACTATAATATTGTTCGATTAGGTATACTTGCTATCACATTTAGTTATCTTAGATTGTTTGGTTTATAAATTAAAAATTAGTATATAAATTGTGTATCAATTACTTTGCTGATAATTGTCTTTATATGATGCAACATTTGAGCATCGTTTCCGTCTCAATAAGGCTATATTATATATTTATTAGTAATGCTTTATAGGCATGTTATGATTTTTAAGCAAAAACCTGATGTTAGAGATAGATTGGGCTTTAGTAGTTTACAAAAATGTGCAGTTGCACTTAGATATTTAGGATACGGTATAGCCTTTGATGCATCAGACGAATACTTGAAAGTATCTGAGAGGACTGCAATTGACTGTGTAGATTGGTTTTTCGCATGTGTGTATGAGGTTTATCACGAATAATATTTGCGCAAGCCTACTACACATGATATTGAGAGATTATATTTGGCAGATGAAGAGAGGCATGGATTTCCCAGAATAATTGGTAGCCTTGATTGTACGCATGTCACGTGGGAAAGATGTCCAACTATGTGTCGCGGTCAATTTACTCGAGGTGATATAGGTGACCCAACTATAATACTAGAAGCTTTTGCATCTCAAGATTTATGGATATGGTATTCGTTTTGTAGAGTTTCGTGGTCTAACAACGACCGTAATGTTCTTGGGCAATCCCCTATTTTCAACGATACATCCGAATTCATTGAGGTATTCTTATTTTATTTATATTTTAAAATGTTGATACTGAGTTGCCACGACGTGGTGGAGGCACCACCACGATGTGGCATATCTAGAATGTTCACAGGTCTTAAGTTGGTTCCCACGCCGTGGCAACATGTTGGCCATGATGTGGCGACCATCTGATGAGAAAACCCTAATTTTCGAGTATATAAAGGAAAGTAATTTTCGACGTGGCATATCTAGGAGTTCGTTGTGGTTTTGAAATCATGCATGAGTTTGAGTCCTTGTCATCCACATTTTTGACCTAAAATGGAAGAGACATACATTGGACATGCATGTCCATAAATCATCAATCTTTATGATCCATTAGGTGAAGGAAAACCTTTTGGAATGTATGGAGGAGTGTCTTTGGTGACTAAGGGATTAATGGCTAGGTCTTGTTTCTTAAAGCTTTTAAGGACCTAAGTTTAAAGATCTTGTCTTATTGAGATGTCTTAATGGATAAAGTTGAAAACTTTATCCATTAAGACCTTGGGAAGGAACATATTTGGGCTTTGGAGCCCTTGAAATTTGCAGAAAGCAGCTGAACTCGATTAAGATGTTCAGATCAGTCTACAAGACGTGGCCTTGGGTTGCTACGACGAGGCGACCGGGGGATCAGTCTGTTGTTTTGTCGTTTTGTGCCCACGATGTGGCCAATGGGAGGCCACGACGTAGAGGCTTGTTGTCGGAAATTTTGATTTGACTTTGATCGTTGACTTTGAGGGTTGACCTTTGACCTGGTTGACTTTTTGTCAAATTTCTATTTTTAGAAAGGTAGCCTAAGAGTTTACCTTGTGTGGATATCTAGGTGGTGATTAGCACCTATTCTCGAATTTTGGTAGCTATTGACTTTTATCGGCACTGTGAGGTGAATCTTCTCACTATATTGTGTAGGATGCCAGTTATCTATGTGACTCTTACATTGTATGTTGGGCAGGGCTCGTTTGTATGCTAGGCTGGGCCCGTTATGTGTGTTAGGCATGGACTATTTGTTTGTTGGGCGGGGCCCATTATGTATGTTTGGTGAGGCCCGTTTGTATGTTGGGCGGGGCCTATTATGATACGCGGGGCCTAGAGTTATGTATGGTATGTGGTATTTTGGGGAACTCACTAAGGTTTGTGTTTACATTTTTATGGTTTAACATTTTCAGATATTTCATGTTCGAAAGGGAAGGACCCGACTTGACTGCACAACGTTTCCCCCTATGATTTCCGCATTGATAGCTTTGTTACACTATGATATTTGAGATACATTTATATTACCCTTGATTTTGGAACAAATGATGTATGAATTTGATGGCTTGAAAATGAAAAAAAAATTTATCAGTATTTTTGGGACGTTACAATAAAGCACATGATATGTTGTTCCTGGTGTACAGACATTCGTACAAATATGGTTACTACCTTTGTGATGGGATATACCATGATTATTCTAATTTTATGAAGGAATTCTAGGTACCTCAAACTGAAAAGGGAAATTTGTTCACAAAAAGACAGGAATTAGCTAGAAAGGATACAAAGAGAGCATTTTGAGTCCTCAAGCAAACATAGCATGAAACAAAATATGCTACACACGACTCTGGGATATGGATAGAATTAAACGAATGATATATGCATGTATTGAAATGCATAATATGATTATTGAACATGAAGTTAGAGGGATTTGCACATATGAACTGAACGACATAGTTATCCCGATTGAAGAGGTTGTACCCGAAACGACTAAATTTTTAGCACGAGTAGTTGATATTCATAACAGTAAAACGTGTTTCAATTTTTGAGAAGACGTCGTGAAACATTTGTACCAAGGAAACATGAAGGAAGATTAATTCTTTTTTTATGTTTCGAATTTTATGTTTGTTTATCTTTTTTTTTTTTAATTCTCGATTTTCTTAAGTAATGTAGGTTTTTTAAATTAATGTAATGTTTTTTTTATTGAATCAAAAACTAGTTTGAAAATATATGTTTTTAAAGTATTTTTATTGTATTTTTGAATTAAAACTAATTAAAAAAAATGATGTGGAGTGGTGTGTTAGTGGTATATACCTCATGAGTTTAGTGGTTGGATGTGATGATGATGTAACACCCACCACTATAGTGGTTATATACCGTATGACCTAAGGAGAATACATTCTATACATGGTAAAAGCGCTCCTAGGTTCATGGCAGGTGGTTATACATATCCCTTACGGTTAAAGATTCTAGAAGCAAGTGCATGACATCTTGTTATTGACTTATTCCATTATAGGGTTTAATTACAGATGGGTTTGATCCACCAGAATTAGGACATTTTTATGCTTGCTTATAGATAGGCCTACATCTCCATCAACATTCAATATTTCAAAATAGAAATCATTATGAGGTTAAGTGAGGTATAACATTTTGTGAGTGATTCTAAATGTTCTTGAAAGTTAATAAAACTCTCTCTCTCTCTCTCTCACTCGTCTCGTCTCGTCTCTCTCGTCTCTCGTCTCTCTCTCTCTCTCTCTCTCTCTCTCTCTCTCTCTCTCTCTCTCTCTCTCTCTCTCTCTCTCTCTCTCTCTCTCTCTCTCTCTCTCGTGAATATATGTTACATCAACCAAACCACGTTAAATATTGTGTTATAGAGTTTTCAATTACTGTTTTTCAGAGGTTCATTCCACGTGTTTTACTGAAATCATTTATCATTTGTCCAAAGTTGTTTAACTTGTTTTGTCCGGTCTTTACATTTTTAGGATACTAGTCATCTTTTGAATGGAAAGTTTAATTTCAAATTATAACTAAAAAGAAATATTGCGAGAAATAAGAGCTTTATATTTTTGGCAGGTAAGACATCATAATACTTTAAAAGAAATCTTGGTTTGAAGCGGATTGAATAACCGTCTGGTTAGTCTATGGCTAAATAGAAGCATGGCACATACATGGTAAATTGATCGACATCAATTGCGAATAACTTTATATTTATGTGAGTTATGTTGCTCATCGAAATGTCTCTATAGGCTATACATCGAAAGGTCTCAATAATGGAGCCCAATTCATGAAAGGTCACCGCCATTAAAAACAGATGCACGAGGAGATGAACCTAAGATTATATCATATATTTTATAAGTGTGCATGCGTGGGTTTTCTCAATTATGTTCTTGTGACAGCTATCGTATATGATCTTATACTTTGTATCCTTCTAATGTCGGCAATGTGAATATATGGATCTTGATCCAACCCGAAAAGTGACCCAAGAAAGAAAATTAGGATATAAAAATAATAGGCCTAGGGCCTTCAATCAATACACTTGAAGAATATATATATATATATATATATAATATATATATATATATATATATATATATATATATATATATATACTAGGTGTCATACTCATTTATTACATGAGTTTATTTAAGAAAAATTAAATATGAAATTTTAAAATTTTGAAAAGTTTGAATTTATAAGAAAATAAGAAAAATTTTGAATTATTAAAATTAATGAGGCTTTAATGTATTGAATACATTATATATATAAACCATTTCTAATAAATATCTTACATATATATTACCTTACATATTAAATGTGGAATTTTAATTTAATAAAATGAAAAATACAATAAAGACAAGTGGAAAATAGAAAATTCAAAAATTCTAGAAAATGTCATGTGTCAAAATGAAGTAGAAGAGGACATGTGGCAAAATGTTCTTTATTTATTAGGGAGGATGTGTGTGTATATATATATATATATATATATAATATATAGAGAGAGAGAGAGAGAGAGAGAGTTAGGTTCAGGTATTTAAAGTAATTGTTGTGTTATTGTATATATAAATGTGGGCCAATCAAAATTAAATAATTAAATAAATAAATAAGGGTAATTTAGTAATTTGATTAGTAACTTCCAAAAATAATCCATATAATCATGTTATTGACTTTTAACCTAATTTCTCAGGTTTATATTAAACTCGTTTTTTTTTCTTTAGTCGCTCAATCTCCACCGATTACAAGCCCTAGCCGATGATACAAAGTCGTCGCCACCATGGACCGCCCCAAATTTCTCTAAAAGTCATCTTCCAGTACCTTCATCCACCCATTTCTGCTTTCGAAGTCCTGGTTTACGTCTCCAAGCTACCCGTCGTCCTCCTAGTTATCCTCAGGTTATTTCCAGATGTCAGATTATTTAACTACGTTTACTATGTATTGTTGGGAACTCTTCATTTGATGACTCGATGGATCAGGAAGGTGAGAATTCGGCGGCGGATCCTAGGATATGGAATCGGAACCGTAATGATATGACTTTCTTCGGAGATTACGATGAAGACGATGACGAAGATGATGAGGAGGAGGAGGAAGATGACAGGAGCATGGATCTTCTGATTAGGTTTGTTGAGAACGTGTTTAAGAAGATATCTAAGCGAGCTCGCAAAGCCGTTCGATCCGTTCTTCCTATCAATATCCCCACCAAATTGGTACTGATTTGCATTTCTCAAGTTATCAATTTGATCCAATTCGTAGGTTTTAGCTGGTTTTTACTACAATTGAGTTCAGATTACTAAAATTAGGGCAAACTCGATTCAAATTCTATTCTGATTTATTCGTTTATACACAAAATAAACGAAATACAAAGATTTTTTCTTTCCCGATTTGATCCTTTTTATATATGCAAAGTCAGCAGCTTTCCGTTATGTTCTTGATATGTATTCAATTTCAACCTTTCATTAACCTACTTACATCTTTTTCTGAAATTTGCTATAAAAACTTTCACCTAATACCTTGTATCTTGCATTCTTACTTTGACATTGTTCATTCTTTATTACCATACGAACTTACTATATGCTCAATGCCTTATATAGGTGGGATTCTCTGTTAATGGAGTTATAATCACGAATTCCAATTATTTTGGAATGGAATCATGAATTCTAATTCTGTTGGAATGGAGTCATGAGTTCCAATTCTGTTGGAATGTAATCATGAATTCTAATTCTGTTGGAATGGAGTATGGATTTTTTCTCACTGATTTATACATGTTCTACAATTCTTGGTTATTGGTTTTGGTGCAATTCACAAGTCCACATATTTTTCCAAAAGAATTTAGTTTTTTATTTTTCATTTGCTAATGCATTATTGGAATCTAAACTACAATTTGATTTTGTTTTCACAGAAGTTGATGCTTGAAGAACGGACCACAAAATTGAAAGTGATTCTAAGCAACATTATTCTTTTAGAATGTATTAGTGTCGTTGTTAGATTTTGATGTTTTCTTTCCCGTTTTGAAAGTTTTTTTAGTTTTATTCTTTACCAATAAATATAATTCTTAACAATTGTTACCCGTATTCTATAAGAAATTATGTATTTATTGTTTTTATTCTTCAATTGATGGTTCGAGAATTTGTTATTCTACAAGAAGTTTTTAAAGTCATGATCATGAAATAGGTTCAAGAATATTTTTATTATTTATGGTTCAAGAATATTTTTATTTTTGAATATACTCAAACATATTTTGTCAGAATGTCCGAATTAAAAGGATTATAATTCGTAAAATCGGATTTTTTAAATTAATAGAATCTATGATCCCTTAAAATATGCAATTTTCCTTTATTAAATCTATATTGATTGACTAAAATACCCTTGTAATTAAATTAGATGATATTTTTCAATTATATTTAATTCAATAATATATATTAATCACTTTCTTAAAATAAGTAAAATTGATTGGCCCACATTTATGCATACAATAACACAATAATTACTTTGAATAGAATAACCTAAGCCTATATATATATATATATATATATATATATATATATATATATATTATATATATATATATATATATATATCTTCTCTTCTCTTCTACTAAAAGACTTTTAAACTTGCCACTTGTCATCTTTTTAAACACCTAACCTGCCACATGTCACTTTTTGGACCCTCTACATTATGTTTTCCCGCTCATATATTCTCCTCTTCAATTAGATGTTTTAAAATCCAAAAAATCAGGAATTGATTTTTGAAATTTTCAATCATATTTGTCCTCAAATATCTCCCTAAATTTCGATTCCTTGAATCTCTCTATAGTTTAAATTCAAAATCCCTAGCGTCATCCGGTTGTAAAATCTACAAAACCTATCTTCTCGCAATCTCCATTTTGGCTGCTGCAATATTTGATGTGAACCAGACAACCAGTTGCCTAAGGCTAACCCTTCCCTTTACCGTAACCTTCATTTAAGGTACGCTTCATGTTCAATGACCCTTAGTTACCATCTACGACCCCTTCTTCATCCTTCATTATTTCTTTGAGATGAATTCGACATTGAAATTCTAAATCTGTTTAACCTTCCATTTCAAAATAAGCCATTGTTTGTTGTTTATCTAACGAGCCTGTTTTGAGTGAACACACAATGGTTGTATCATCTAAATTGTGTTGATTTTGCCCATCATTTTCGAATATCTAATCAGATTTAGAATATGTTGTATTTTGTTTGAATACTGATTTATTCTTCGATTGTTTTCAATGGATTCTGAAATTCGATTTCTTCGATTGGATGAAAAAACAATCATACAAATAAATATATTCATTAACCGGTCCATATCGTGTAGCCCTTCAAGGATTAGCTTATGCCTTTTATTGATATGACTAACAAAATTGCTTATTTTTTTTTAATTAATTGATCTAACCATGTTTTCATTGTAGAATGGAACATGGGAGGATGTTAAGAAGATTGTGTCAACACTTAATGTTAGTCAAGATGTTGTAGGTAAGCCTTAAACTATATGATGTTCCGATTTCAGTCTAAAGTGAAGCACTGTTAATAATTCATTCCTATTTGGATTTTGATAAGATATTACGATTTCTTGGTTAATATCTCAAACTCAACTGTTTTCCATTTTCCATTTTCAGAGGTTGTGGCTAACCCTCCTTTTGTCTTTATCTTTCTGTTAAAACCGAATTGAAGCCTGAATTTCAAATCGCTTACCAAAATTGTTGGGTTAATAAAGGAGGTGCACTCACTGGTGAAATTAGGTATGTTTCTATGCATTTAATCAATGACATGTCCAAAAACATTCATTAATATCTTTTTTGTATATGCAGTGCAAAGACACTTGTGAAATGGGGCATTCGTCGGGTCATCATTGATCGATCTGAAAGTAGATCTTTAATGAATGAATCAAATGTGGTCCTCTTTTTTTTAATGAAATTCCATCATGTATGATGTTTTTAGTGGTTTTTCTGATGTTTATATCCCATCTACTTGATTGTAGTTCTGAGGTTGACGATGGAATTTTTTTATGTGCCTTACTTTTGCAGATGCACATCTTGGTGGTGATGGTTTTTATATGGTTACCAATACCACTGCCATTTACTACCTTTTATATTATGATTATATGCTTTTTTTTTACTTTCATGTAGAAAATAGTTGATTGACTTGTTGCATGCTTAAAGGAGGATAAGGCCTTAGATCTACTAAAGCACATATGTATGGTTTCTCAATTTATTTTTGTTTGTTGCTTATACGATTGATGTCCGTCTTACATTTTTGACAATAATCTAATTGGGTGAAATAGATTAATACGTTTTTTTTTAGGGTGTCATTAATTTAGTGTAAATTATGAAGGCTAATCATTGATGAAGGAAGCTTCATTTCTTGCTATGTAGTTGTTGTTTATGTCAATTTCATCATTATGACCAACCCTAACTTAAAGAAAAGCTTGATTTTAGACGCTAAACAAGTTGCTTTTGATTTTCATAATGCATTTGGATTTTAAACTTTATAATTCAGATTCGCTTACTAAATTAAATACTAGAACACAGATAACAAAATTAAAGCAATTTTATTTTGAGTTTTTATATTGCATGTAATTTCACAATTTGTTCATTTGATGAAAAGGGTATTTTTGTAAAAAAATAATGTATGTGTTGACTTGAATGAGTTCAAGCTGCACCAGCATTGTTTGACTATTGATTTTTAAAGATAATAGTCGCAAATCTGTTTCCCCCTCCGAGTTATATATAATTTCATTGAGTTTTGTTCCAAGTTAAAAACATAAGTTGTGTAATGGTTGCAGGTCTTATCATGGTAACTCTCTGTAAGTCTCTGTTTATTTGTTGTAAATTCTCCTTTTTATGTAGTTTTCGTCTTTTAAATTTTTTTGCTTTTATAAGAGTTTTTGATGTTTTTGGTTGATTTGATTTGATATTTTTAGTTTTAGTTTTTATTCGTTATAAGGTTGGTAGATGGCATACGACGCATACCACACTTTTACATTGCCACTTAATTTTTTCTCTCACCCTAGGTGACATACCACACATTACCACACCTATCACATTACATATTTTTGTGCACAAAGTACCACCTTTGAGTAATATACCCTTCGGTGAAAGCATAACGCACGACAACTAACCATAGAGGAGCAAGGGGGTGTTTCCCGCATACGCTCTATGCGGTACAAATCACACGTATGGTCTAATGTTAAATAATGCATTGCTTATGTATTGTTTTTGAATTATGCTACTTCTTTGGAGGTTAAGATACCCAACAACGATTCATTTTCAAGGAGGTTGCTTTACAAAGTTTACATTCAAGCAAAAGAACTTTCAGAAATTTCACGTCTATAAAATTCAAATGAAAACATTTTAAGTTTTTGCTTAATTTAGTCTTTTATTTGATCTTTATTTGTATATACCAGCCGTCACATAAATTTTAGTATATAACTTGGTTGTTTGTTACTTAAAAATGATTTAATAAATATAATTGTATGAGTAAATATGAATTTAAATGTTGTTTTATTTTGCATGTGTATAAAGTAAGATTTTAAATGAATAAGACCTTATACCGCTTATTTATAACATTTGAGAACTAAAAAAAATTAATTTAAATAATTATTTGTAACAAAAAAATTGAACTTCACGAGAGTTAGGTAATTTTATATGTTCATTTCGAAATAGAACTAAAAATCATTATTCTTATATATATGTTGTATACAAAGTAGTATTTGAAATTTACATTAATTTAAATAGCGATGATATATTTATTAATAAAAATAGTAATTCTTATATATATATATATATATATATATATATATATATATATATATATATATATATATATATATATATATATATATATATATATATATACTAGAAATGAGGCCCGTGCGTTGCACGGGTCGGATATTTTTGTTGATGTTTAGCGGGTCATGAAAGTAGGATGCTATAATGTCATTTAAATACAAAACAACTATATAGATCAAATACAGTTTCATCTCTTGATGGTGGCCAATGAGCAATGGGGACTCCCACCCTTTTTATTGTTGGAGATGATCCTGAAAGAACCAAAAAACTTCAACATTGACTTTCAAACTTATAATAAATAATAATTAAATATTTGAAAATGTCTGTTATTTGTAATTAATTTTAATAAATAACAAAAAAATGTCACAAAAAATTGAAAATTCAGTTATAATAAGGGACAAATTTTGTCATTTTATAAAATTATTTATTACCCTGTTGCATAATAAACTATTAAAAAAAACTCACACGGTCCATATTGCATAGCAGAAATGCAGAAAAGCAAAGAAGTTCTATCACCCAACGGTTTGAAAACCGATTTGTTTCTTGTATTTCTCCAACTAAAACAGCCTCACTTGCTCCTCCTTCTGATGATACTACAAGTGAATCCAAATCTGTTCCTGCCACATCATACTCCTCAGATTTATAGTTTGCCCGAATTCATGTCGTGGTTGCAGGGGCTGCCTATTGAATATATTGTTATGTTTTAGCTGTTCCGGTTTAATCCAATTGCATCTTGCTATTCATTTATGATTTCTGATTTGGAACTTTTTGCTTTCATGTGGGATCATTAAAAGATGAACACCATGAGAAGATATGGCATTCCAGTATCCGGAAACAAAGAGGATCTTCTTCAGACTATATAGTTTTTCTGAATACATGTTCCTATGCACATGTTGTGCAGAAGAAAAGGTTAATTTCTCTACTCTTTGATAAGTTGTATCTTGTTCAGGTTTATGAATTCTACCTAAAATAAAACATTGTACATGGATAAGCGAACACCTTTGAATGAAAAAATATTTTAATTAGTTACAAATTAGAAATTGAAATCTATTCGTACTTTCTTGAAACGAAACACATGTTCGGAATAGAATTGAATTCCAACTCCGGTCAAATCCATTGAAATAAAAAAGAATATATATAGTCAATATATATGAAAGAAAATGAAGAAACAATTGCTTCATATATGTGATTGTGAAACTAATCTGTGAATGAACCATTGTTTATGCTGCAAGAAACATAAACAAATTATCAGAGTTATGCAATATGATTAATAACTCCAAATAAAAAAAAAAACGTACAATTAAATCTTAAATGTTTTCCAAATTGTCAACTCCTCATCTTCTGTTAAGGCGTGATTAACAACATTAATTTTTATGTTTTTTTTTTTTGTTTTTCCGGCTTTGCTGAAACCATACGCGACTCCAGTTTCCCTTACATTCATCCGTTTTCTGCCTTTGCTGAAACCAAAATTCAAATGACAAAAGAAAGTGTATATTGCTGAATAAATTGGATGCATACCTTTAAATTTTTTTTAGTCATACCTTTTATAACACGAAGCTAATAACATGTCTGAATAATATGATTGTGTGTTATTTAAAGCTTCATTTGTAGTCAAACCAAGATAAGAACCTGCCATAAATAGATATTACAAGGGTAGTTATGTCTTTTCACTTTGTAGTTATTATTGGATATGAACTATAAACATACGTACCAACTAATCCATCTCCTGAACCCTTAGCTGCTACATAAGCAAACCTGACATCGAGAAGCCAGCCAATTTCATTTTTTGTCGTTGCAAAAATAGTCCGCTGGTAGAAAAAAAGTCAAAAATCTATTATTTACAGTTTTGATTTAAATATTTAATACTAAAATTTTGAGTCTGTTGGAGTCTTAGCTTCTATATAAGCAAACCACACATCCGGGAACAATCAAATTCCATTTTTTAGCATTGCAAGAACACCCGTCTGGTAGAAAAGAAAAAAAGTCATCAATGTATGATTTTGAGTTTTGATTTAAATATTTAATGCTAAAATGTTGAGTTTACCTGTGTTATGATTTTGTAGTGGATATGATCAGATATACAGCAATCCAAAATTGGATTGTTATGCTATCCATGAAGCTTATATATGGCTTCTTATATCCAAGATTTTGCAAATAAGAAAGTACATCACCATCTGGGCCCTACAAATGAATTAAACAAAAAGATTTTATTTTTTTAATAAATTATAGCCCATGAAATCTGTTAATAATTAAAAAAAATGTTTAAAACCTGGGCCTGACAAAGTCCAAACTCAAGAAGAAGTTTATTTTTTTCCAGCAACAAAACAATGGCTTGCAGCATCTGTAGTGAGTAAAGAATCAAAATTTATAAGATTCACAAAAGGGGTTTCCAAAAGTTGAACCATCAGAAATAGCAACAATACAAATAAAATTTTCAAAGATTCGATCTTTTTGTCTAAATGTTTCCAAAAATACTCTTCAAGCCAGAAAATAAAACTTACAGCGACAGGGCCTTCAATAATCATGAAGGGTATACAGACCTGCATTACTAAGGCAAATAAACGGTGTAGAAAAGAAAAGTTGTATAACAAATAGCATTCAAAACTGCATCAGTATATGGAAGCAAGCAGGTATATATAAAAAAATAAAAAAATAATTAAATAATTAAATAAAAAAAAAAACTATTCAAAATCCCAAGTTTTCATCATACTCTCAACAATCGATTGACATCAACTCCATTGAATTGAAAGAAAATCAGATAGACAAATCAATAAATTAATTACCTTAGGTTATAAGGAAATTCGTCAACGGTTACCTTGATTTCTTTGCCAGGTCGGTGATAATAAGCATCTAAGTCGAGAGACCCCAGTCAACTGAAAAGAAATTTCGTCCGGTGAAAAACCCTCGTCGGACTCGCCTCCGCCAAGGGAACTGGCCGGTTGTGATGGAATTTCAAGAGTCGAGGATCAAACCTAATCAAACCTGTGATGGAATCAACTGGAGGTGTCGAATCGATTGGAGGTGCGGCGGAAGCACCGTCAAAGTGTATCGAATACTGGTGGGAGGTGGAGATAAAGAGGGTTCTGGAACGGCGGAGGTGAAAGGAGAAGTGAAGGCCAATAGACAAAGAAAACGGTGATGTTTGAGAGCGGTGGGCTTGTGGTCCGATTAGGAAGAACATGTATCAAAAACAGTGTTGAATCGGTGGTGAAGAAGAAAGGAGAAACGGTGGAGACAAAGAGGGTTGGGGAGACGGTGGAATTTGGAAGAGGGATAAAAGGAATATTGTGGAAGGATGTGGGTGGAAGGATCGGGAAGTAAAATCGTAACCACTGTGGTAACTGGTAACCACAGGAACAGTACCCTGGTCAGGTACTGTTCCTAACTTTCATTTCCTTAATATATTTCATTTCCTTAACCACAGGGACCTACAGAGAATGTAAGTTAAGGGACGAAAATAGACAAATATGGGCGACGTTTATTATATATATATATATATATATATATATATATATATATATATATATATATATATATATATATATATATATATACACCCGGATCAAGCCTATTACGGGAGGCCTAGCCCAATAGCACCTATGGCTAATGCGATGCTTTTTGTTAAGTGTTTTAGTTCTGAACTTTTATGTATTTTTATAGTTTCTATCGATGCATAACAAAAGTACAAGTTTCTGATTTTAATTAGATGGTTGTAACTTATTTAAAGTAACCTAAAGTTGGTGAATTAGAATTCTATTTTTAGGTATTACACAACGAATGCCTCAAGATAAAAATACAAAAATTCAGTTTATTCAGTAAAAATATCTGAAAATTATACATTTTATTTCTGATATTTGTATATAAATGTGTGACAACAATAACTGTAATTTTGAAATATGTAAAATTACATAAAAAGAAAATGTTAATCAGCTATATATTTGGCACCCTACAATTAATTTATTTTTCAAGTATTTTAGATTGTTATTTTGGCACGCAACAATTAATTTTAGTATACTTGGCACGCTAGTTTATATACTAGTTATTATTATTATTATTATTATTATTATTATAATAAGAAAACAACTACCCATAATAGTGTCCAATGGGTTTATCTATGTTTTTTTTAATTCTTCGAAATATACTCAATTACTAATTATAAAAACTCATTCCCAACATTCAGTAAAAAAATAAAATATTAAAACCTTATAAACATTTGCATTTTCATAAGATACTAAAGAATTATCTTAAAGAAATGTGAGTAAATTACACGAATGGTCCCTATGGTTTGGGGTAATTTGCGTGCTTGGTTCCTAACTTAATTTTTTAACTCGGAAGGTCCCTACATTTTGTTTTTGTTACGCACTTGGTCCCTACTATTTGTTTTTGTTACGCGCATGGTCTCTATCTTACCTAAAAAGACTATTATTTAAACAGAAAAAATTGTGAGATAGGTAAGGTAAGGTGAGAGGGGTGGGGTTGGGGGTGTATTTATTTAAATAAATTAAAAAATCAAGGGAAAATAGTCTTTTTAGGTAAGACAGGGACCAAGCACGTAATAAAAACAAATAGTAGGGACCTTCCGAGTTAAAAAAATAAGTTAGGGACCAAACGCACAAATTACCCCAAACCATAGGGATCATTCGTGTAATTTACTCAAGAAATGTAAAATATTGAAACGATCTAAGTTAATATTACCAATTTTTTTTTAAATTTCAATAATTTTCAATCAAATGTACCATAAATATATCCTTAATGGTGATTTGCACATGGTATTAACAAAAAAAACCTATATCACAAGAATATTTAAAGCTTTACGAATAGAAAAAAGACAAAACTTCAAAAATGGTTCCTGTGGTTTTCGAAAATATCAAGTTTAGTCCCTAAGTTCAAAAAACCTCACGGATCGTCCCTGTGGTTTCAAAACTTTTAACATTTGGTCATTCCGGCTAACTCCGTTACCATTTAGCCGTTAAGTCAGGGGCATTTTTGTCATTTCACTACACAGGGACCATTTATGAGGTTGTCTATTACTTTTTTTTTAAAATAAATAAATAAATAAATAAATTTAATATGCAAGGGGTCCCACACTTTTCTCTCTCTACAAGGGGTCTCACACTTCTCTCTCTCTCTCTCTCTCTCTCTCTCCATGTGCACCGATCCTCCTCAACCTCATTCTCTTCTTCATGGCTTTCCCCTATCATCTTTGTCTCTCTGTCATCACCCTTCCCTACCCATGAATGATCTCTATTACTGCCACGTGTATCTGATGAGTCAACACTTCTGGAATCATCAATAAACCCCAAACCAGTTCGTTCAACTGGTTTTTGACCGAATCAGATTTTGTAATCTAGATCATGGTTTAGTTGTTCCAGTTTCCTTTCTTTTTCAAGTATTCTGTCACTTAAACTACTACTGCTTTGGTTTCCATTTCCATTAGATTCGTTTTTTGCATCTGAACCAGAATTATATTCTCTCTTCAGATAATCTATCTCTTCCTTCAAATTCTTTATCGCTTCTTCTGTGTCAGACCTGACAAAAAATTAAAAGGCTCAACAATTTATTATGATGATGGGTATTCACAATAGAAACACCAAAGGTTACTAAAAGACCAAGTATGAAGATTAATATGCAATATTTCTACAGTTTCTCGATGATGATGATGATGATGATGCTTGAATGGAATACCCAATTTCACACAGCCAGAGATCAGAGATGTTCATCAAGTGTCAAGAGAAGAATAGAAGATAATAGATAGGAATACTAACCTGCCAAGCCGACGACGCTCCAACTCTACATTAATCTTTCTGTAATCAATACCTTTTTCTCTTGAAGCAAACTTCTCTGGGTTTAGCATCGCCAAAAGGGTTCACCTTAGGCCTTGTCTTCTCTAATCCCTGTGGTTGCAATGCAGTCCGACCCTCTACTGAACTGCCGGAATGTGAACTCGTGGGCCGACTGCTACTTTTCTTAGCATCAATTTCCAAATCCACCTTCTTGTGAACCAAACCTTTCTCAGCTCTTGGGCCTAGCTGCCCCAAAAGGACTCGGTTTATTGGTGTGCGCCGATGGCTCAACTGGAGCACTTTCACCCTTTGGTGGATCTAACACCAAACGTCGGCGTTCCGTTGGTCGTTCCTGATCACCATCACGAGGCACAACTCCCCTTTTCCAACGATCGTCTTCAGAACCACCGGAATCCCGAAAACCAGGACCGAAATTAGAAGACCTGGTGAGTGGCATGGGCTCCTTGCTCGCCGTCCAATTATCAATCTCGTCAGCTCTAGAAATCTCGTCATAAGTAGGCATCATAGGTTTCTTCGTCACTGCCCAATTATCGACCTCGTCTGCCCTAGATGGTTGATCATATTCCGAAATCCAAGGAGATGAAACTCTACGATCATCACCAAACTCACCATAAGACTGTTAGCTTATCTCATCGGAGTTGTGGCTTCGTGGAAAGCAAGGGTCGATCAAAACAATAATAGAGGGTGTTTGGGGTGATGCGTCTTAATGGGAGAGAGAGAGAGAGAGAGAGAGAGAGAGAGAGAGAGAGAGAGAGAGAGAGAGAGAGAGAGATGGGGTGGGACCCCTTGCATATTAAATATTATATATATATATTTTTTTTAAAAGTAATTAAAAACCTCATAAATGGTCCCTGTGTAGTGAAATGACAAAAATGCCCATGACTTAACGGCTAAATGGTAACGGAGTTAGCCGGAAGGACCAAATGTTAAAAGTTTTGAAACCACATGGACGATCCGTGAGGTTTTTTGAACTTAGGGACTAAACTTGATATTTTCGAAAACCACATGGACCATTTTTGAAGTTTTGTCTAGAAAAAAAGTTACAAATATTTTGGCTCCTCAAAGGTTTGTTGGGTCTCGTGAGACAAAGTTCTTGCACCTAAATCACATGGCAGGATTGGGGTGAAGAATTTAAAAGCTTAAAATATTGCACTCCACATAAAATGGTGGCGAAAAAGAACCCGATCGATCTTTGGTCAAAATTCATTAGGGCAATTCGCTTCACTCCACATACTTTGGAAATTCATCTCTCGAAAGCTTGATTTAGCCGGGACATGGAAAGATATAAATGGAATTGTTTCATAGCTTGCTGATTTTAATATAGCCGTTCCAGAATTTTTTTTCAAAAGTAAAGCAGAGAAAGGAAATTTAATATCGATGTGGAACGATAATTGGGTTGGACCTGGTCTGTCAAGCTCACTATTATTCCCTTCTCCTTTACCCTCTTGAATACTGTCTTTTAGAATTTAGATCATAAATTTCAAATCACAAGTCCTGGTCCTGAGCCTAGTGACAAAGCCCATCAGTACAGGCTATGTCCTTGCAACGATGGATTATCCTCTTGAACCTGTTATCGGGGTCCGCTAAACATATTTTTGATCCGAATCGAAAGGAAATAAAAATGCCTTTCAAATACATAAGTATAGCAAAGCAATTTATAAAAATCTATAAATTTAAAGATATATAATTTTGTGCTAGCTTTTTCTAATAAATTATTAATAATATTATCAAATACACAAATATAGTCAAAGAATTCATTAAAATCCATTAATTTAAAGAAAAATATTTCTTGTATTTTTTTAGATAAAAAAGTCATTGATAATAATATCAAGATCAATTTTGTCTAGGGTACCTTATTTACATAAATAGTCAAACCATTCAACATTTATTTTGAGATGGGTGACCTTAAGTATTTTTTAATAACTTCACCTTTAAAAACTTATCTTTATAGATGCTATAATGACAAAATGGTTATATGCAATAAGATTCTAACCATTAAGACTTAGGAGTTGATATGACTTAATCAACTAACCCATGCTATATTTGTTTGATTGCTTCATAGTTTGTCGATTTATAATTTTTCGATTTAATATCCCTAATTTTTGGTTGCCCCTATCCATCTTCTTTATGAACAACGGTAACTATATGTACGATGTTGCTTCTTCCAGTTTCTAGTAATGTATCAAATTTGGCTATTTCCTCCTTTCCATAATTCGTCCTATTTTTTCTTAAAAATAGACTATTGCTTATATATCAATATTACATAGACCATGAATTTTTTGGCCTCCTTGGAACGATGGGCCATAGGTGATCGCTCTTATCACCCACCATCCGGATCGGGCCTGCCAATTATCCCTTACATCTATCCCATTTTATCCTTGATACGTGGTTTACAACAGAGACCATGTGATTTTACTTTTAACTCATTGAAGAAAATTGATCAAATTGAAATTATGGTTACTAAGTAATAGGATATAGTCCGGAAATACCTATATCCCTTCCAAACATACCGAACCAGCATGTTAGAGGATCACTCGAAGATAGCCGCCCCATACATCTCGAAGATGCTCGAATTGTTAAATATCGAACTGGCATAACAATTCTTAAGGAAAGGAAAGAACGAAGGGAAATTACAAAGTGACGTCAAAATAGTAATTGCAGTATCTCGAAACTATGAGAATACAGCCTGTACGAGGATACGTGGCTGGTGGATCCTTGCACTGCCACACGACAGCTGTGTAATGGCATGTATAGTACCAATAGTCGTACCTTAAAGGCATAATGTTATAAATACGATAAGATGACATGTCAGTGTCGATATAGGAAGAGCTTGCTTCTTCCTCCTATCACTATAAATAGACAGGTCGACTCGTCAAGAAGGTAAGTACATAAAACCCCGCTCTTAACTCTTGTGTAGAATCGATCGAATACATAGCCTTTCGCTAACTTAACCGACGGAGAGTCGTCCGGGATAACCTCCCGGCTGATTACTACGGTTTGTTTGTAGTCTTCAGGTCAATCTACTAGCCTGGGGAGAACCAATCCTTGAGTGAAAGATGGAAGACGGACCTGATGGCTCATGAAGTGGCGTCATCCGTGGGACTCCACAACAAACAGTCGGCACAAGCACACTAGTAGTTGGAGCGAGTCCCCTCGCGAGAATGCAAAACCTAGAAGGCGCAGAAGCAACCCCACAGGTTGCTACTGTGGTAAGATATCAGAGCGTAGTTTCCGGATACTTTGTCAATGACGAGGGAACGAATTTACAAGGCAAAACGGCAGAAGAGGTGGAGCTAGAAGAATTTGAAGCATTCAAAAGTTTTAGGGCCATGAGGAAATTACAAGGCGAAAGAAAACTCCAGAAAGAGAAAGAGTGGGATTGAGCTTCGGTCCATACAGACCAAACGGAGGACTCCGACGAAGAAGAAAAGGAGTCAAACCCTCACGAAAAAAGATCGATCAAGAACAAGAAAGATGCAGATCGACTACTCAACGTAGAAGACACTTATAAAAAGCAAGAAAAGCTACCTGAAGTATTAGAAGCAAAACAATACAACCAAGCATTCAATAGCCTAAGCTTCCGCTCTCATTTTACGGACGACATTAATGAAACACCCACCCCCAGAGGATTGAAAGGGCCAAGGGTGCCAGCTTACGATGACACCGGAGATTCAAACGATCATGTATCCAATTTTCAGTGGGCGATAAAAATGATACCAATGGATCCAAAATTATGGATCTTGTACTTCGCAGGAACCTTGGACGGATCTGCCCGATATTGGCTTGCCAGCTTACCACCTCGAAGTATAGGGAGCTTCGAAGAGCTTTGTCAAAAATTTTGTAACAACTTCATACAACAACGAAGGTTCCAGCAACAAGTGCACGCAATATTTGCCTGTCGACAGTGTGAGGGAGAATCGAACATGGCATACTTTAAAAGGTTTAATGAGATCACTAGAAAGATGCCAACCCGGGACGACCCTATGATCATAGAGACGTTCACCTACGGGATCCTAGAAGGGGAGTTATTTTGAAAGTTGGTAGGGCGAATGGGTTAACGCAGAAGAAAAGATATGATAAGTTAATCGGCTCCTGAGACAAGAAGCTGAAAGTGACGAAAAAGTAAGAATGGAAGGGAAGACCATGTCGGGAAGAAGGAAAAAGGAAGAACGAATTAAAACATACCCGTTTTAGCCCAAAGGGCTATCCCGCCACTACGGGAGAAGGTCACACCAAAGCGAGAGGAGAAAGCGGAATGGTCGTTATCAACCATATCGACAGGAAGCTTATGAAGCTTACACTCCTCGAAGCCCGAACAGGTACAACACAGATAAAAACATAAAATCCCCTCGAGACCCGAACAAATACTGTGACTTTCACAAGAAGTTGGGTCACATGACGGAGGATTGTGAGAGTTTAAAAAGAGAAAAAGAGAAAAGGCGATCATTAAGAGTTGACGAGCGAGCAACAAAGAGAGACGATACACCAACGTATGACGTTGAAATTGCCATGGTGCAAGGCGAAGAAGATCCCGACGACAAGTTAACATGGAAGCGGAAAGTAACTAGCATTGAGTTCGGTCTTCATGATCCAATACATTTTGATCATAAAGGGACAGAGCCTCTGATAATTAAAACGACAATAGGAAGAACGTTGATTAGAAGGGTTTACGTGGATAACGAAAGTGCTGTCAATGTAATGTACGAACATTGCTTGAAAGGACTACCTTTGGATATCCAAAGATACATCAAGCCTGCCACGGCCACAGTGGTCGGATTCGCGGCCCAGTCGGTATGGCCGAGAGGGAAGAACTTACTACCTTTCACATTGGAGGACTATCGAGGTAACATTCGAAAAACCATATTAACGGAATTTGTAGTGGTACAAGCACCCTCTCCCTATAACATACTGTTGGGAAGAACCGGCTTGTGGAAGCTTCAAGCAGTTTCATCCAGAGTGCATGGTTTACTCAAATTCCATAGTGAAAAAAGGGTAGCGATAGTTCAAAACACCACCCCAGGACCTCCTGAGTGTATCCATGTTGTACAACCGGAGCATGCTAAGCCCATGGAAGAAGAACGAGTTTCGTCAGTAGACATTGAGGAGATAATTGTCAATAAAATCCACATGGATTATACAATCAAAGTGGGGGTCAAGCTCCCTAGGGAGTTGCGAGAAGGATTGATGACGATATTAAGAAAATACCAAGATACGTTTGTATGGACACCCGTAGATATAACAGGTATCCCAATGTCAATAATAGAGCATCATTTGAATATCGATTCCTTATGCACACCAGTAAAGCAAAAGAAGCGTATCATGGCCAAAGAAAGAAACGAAATCGTCAACAAGGAAGTCGAAGCTTTACTAAGAGCCGGAGTCATGAGAGCCATGCAATTCCTAAAGTGGATCTCCAATCCGGTGCTAGTAAAGAAAGCGGATGGAATGATGAGAATGTGTGTTGATCTCACCGATCTTAATAAAGCTTGCCCAAAAGACAATTAC